ACTTACATAGTACTTTATATGTACCAGGCATTTTTTAAAAATTACTTTTTACATATTAAAATCAGAGAGAGGCAGTGATTCCTATAAACAGAAATAATTCTCATAGAAGTATGTTTGTATAGTTTTATATTGCACATAAAATACACCAAAGACAAAAGAAACTGTCCTCATACAGTAATGGAAAGCCACAAAAAGAAAATGAGCAGTGTTGGAAAATCCAAAGCAAAGAGCCAAGGAAAAAGTAAAACCCAGAGTCAACACGTTAAAAATGAGAAAAAGGTAAAAGTGGATGAAAATACACACACAACCAGTAACCACCAGTAAAAGAGAAAAATAAAACAGAAGTAAAGCATGTCTGTGTCTCTGAAAACCCTTTTGTTTTTTTTGTTGTGACCAAAGAATTTCCTAATTTTATCAAAGAGCACAAATAAAATACAGAATAATGGGTAGTATTGAATATGTTTGCTTACTAAGAGTAGGCTAGGATCAAATACTTAGCAGGGTAAGAACTGAATTAAAGAGAAAACCATTTTAAAAATAAATTATCTAAAGTTACTTTCAGAAGTTCTACAAAATCCAGAGATTCATGGTCTTGGTTATATGTTAAACCCAAGATGCTTATAGTTATGCTGAATGCATCAAACCTGTCAAAACCAAATGAACAGCAAATCACGTCAAAATAAATAGACCATTTAAAGCCTGTAGAAAGACAGCAATTTAGACTATCAAAATTACAAACTGACCGGGTATCCAACACTTGTAATTTTAAGGCATTTTTAAAAATATATATATGTTATTGATTTTTTTACAGAGAGGAAGGGAGAGGGATAGAGAGAGAGAAATATCGATGAGAGAGAAACATCTATCAGCTGCCTCCTGCACACCCACTAATGGGGATGTGCCCGCAACCAAGGTACATGCCCTTGACTGGAATCGAACCTGGGACCCTTGAGTCTGCAGGCCGACGCTCTATCCACTGAGCCAAACTGGTCAGGGCTTAAGGTATTTTTAAAAGCTATACAAGAAAATTATTAAAATGGAAAAACATTCAATGTGGAGACAAGGAAGATGTTCTTCAAGAAGAGTAAGTTATTATTAAGTTTCATCCACCAATTTTCACTCTTATCAGACAGAATTATCAATGTGAAATATGATTATGATATGTCAGTGATTTATTCCTGGATCAGTTATGTAAAAATGTGCTGGCTAAGGTCACCCTTGGCACTAATAATAATGTTAGTGAAGAAATTAATGCAATACTCAATGTGCCCTTCAAGCAGGAGTGTAATATAAATATAATGTATCTTTGTATTTTTAAAGGCACATATATAATCATTATTTTAGATCTGGTGACTAAGAAAATAGAGATTTCCATCTCACTCCCTAAAATGGGGTGAAGTACTTCTAATATAAAGAACAAAGAAAACCAATGTCACCCCAACAAATTTAAAAATAAAAAAAACAAAGAAAAACTAATGTATCTTTGGCTTAACAGGAGATAAATTTCAAGCAATCATTCTGAAGTACATGAAAAACTATTTCAGTCATGAATGTGGTAGATTTAAAGTAAAAACAGCCAATTAAACTTATATAAAGAGCATGCTCAATAGCAGTCTACAAAATACCATAAAATGACAGGGAAACACAATATATGTAATATTTATAAAAATATTTTAAAATTATAGTTGGAAGGAACCTAACTAATTAAGAACCCTCTAACTAATAAAGAAAACCCCTTTACAATAGTCTTTGATGCTTGACCATTTTCAGTGACAAAACAGTTGTATCTTTTCAAGTCCAGGAACACTTACTAAAAGTTTAAGAAGACCACTGTAAACATAGAGGATATAACATGTTATTGGTTTTTATACAACTGTCAATGAAGAATATATTTTTAATCACTCTAACATTTTATTATGCAAACTTTCAGATACAGCAAATTTAAATAATTTTACAAGTTAATGCCTAAACTTTATCATATATCTATCCATCCATCAATCCATCTCGATTTCTGATGTTTTATCTACTCTTTAAATGCCTATTAAAGTGCTATCTAAATGCAGTTTTTGAAGCAAGGTCTGATAAAATAGACATGACAAGCACGTGGGGCTCTCGGGCAGGCAATCTTCAGTGTTGCTACAGGACAAAAACCAGTCATGGTGAATGAGATTTATATTCACTTTTATCACGTGTTATACTTAGTTGTCAGCTATAGCAAAGTAGTTAAGCTCCAACCCTGAAGACCAACAGGCTTGAGATTGAAACCTGGATATTGAGCATGCTCCTTACATGCTAACAAAGATACTAGCAGCATATTAACGGGTCAATATGAGATTTACTTATTTATTTTTCAATGTGAAATTTAAATGAGATGATGTATAAAAAATGTTTATTTAGCACAGTGCTGGCTTTTTGTACGGGTTCAACAAAAGTTAGTAATCATCATCATCATCCTATTTACTAGTAGTCCATCCATCATCATCATCATCATCATCATCATATTTAATCCATTCAACCTACCACAAAGGGTATAGCTGCATACAGACCTATGCTCTTATTTGTGGCCTTTTTTTTTTTCATTACTTGTGTCTTCGCAGTCTATTTTTTACTAAGATTAAAGACAGAAGGAAAGTGAATGGGTCCAAAGCACAAGCGCTGTCCATTTTCCCAGTGGACTTCCTAAAGGAAATAGATACCCTCACTCTTACCAAAAGCAGTGCTAAGTACTACCTCAGGATTACATACAAATCACAAACAGGCAAACTACACCTTTGTAACAGATCTGTAGTCGCCACTTTAATCAAGTGGTCGCATTTAGCATCACTGATAAGCATGGCAAACTGATACGATGTACCTCCTCTAGATGCAATAGAAAGTGCACAGCATCACCTATTAAATACTGCTGCCAGAGGAAGCTTAACTTTAAGCTAATCAAGCTTTTCTTTAGACCTAACTTCCAGTAACAGAAAATTCAGGGGGCTAGAGGAATAAATGAAATGATAGTATGAGGCAACAGACAAGTCTGAACAGGGGAGGGCAAACTTTTTGACTCGAGGGCCACAATGGGTTCTTAAACTGGACCGGAGGGCCAGAACAAAAGCATGGATGGAGTGTTTGTGTGAAGTAGCATAAATTCAAAGTAAACATTATTACATAAAAGGGTACGGTCTTTTTTTTTTTTTTAGTTTTATTCATTTCAAACAGGCCGGATCCGGCCTGCAGGCCGTAGTTTGCCCACGGCTGAGTCTGAATGTGGGAGCATTCTCTAAAACAGTTTGGTCAACTGTCAGGAGAAAAAAGGCGATGGGTACCGCCTTTTAAAAAAAGGCATAATCGAGTGGGAGTGGGGAGGAGAGGAGCAACGGGGTGAAATGGAGGACATCTGTAATACTCTCCAAAATAAAGATAAATGAAAATAAAAGGCATAATCACCAAATGCAATGCGTGAATCTTGACTGAATATAGCTATGGGGTAAAGGGGGTTACTCAAGGGACTGTGGCATAATAAGGAAATTTATATATGTTGATAATTGGGGTTAGTAGGAGAAGGTGTCTATTTTTAGGACATGCATACTGAAATATTTGCATGTCATGATGTTTGCAACTTGTTCTCAAATGGTAGCACACACAGAGACATACAAAAAGGGAGAATCAATTGTATCAATTGATATTGATACAATATCAATCCAGGTAGTTGAGTGTTCATTGTATTTTTTCCTTAAGACTGAAATTTTTCATTATCAAGTTTTTAAGAAGTGTACTTATCTGAGAAATACAGTAGAAAATACACCGACACTGGAATTATATCTGGCCACAAATCTCACCTCTGTTACTTAACTAGCTGTGTGGCCTAAAGCAAAGTTACTTAATATCACTTACGTTTGTCTCATCTATAAAACTCAAGTAACAATACCTAAATTGTTAGGTCGTTCTGAGAATCAAATAAGATCCCATATGCAAAATGCCTCCCAGCGCTGCATGAAATAAGTTAATCTGGTTTTCATAATGAATGAATGCAATCATCCTAAATTACAAGACTATAGGAAAGCATTCATTATTTTCACATTCCGTAAGAAACTACACTAAGTAACACTAACTATCCATTGGCAGCTGATGTGAAGTAATGGGGGAGATGAAGATTTAAAAAAATATGTGCGTTTAATCCAATCATTCCAACGGAAACCGTCAACAGCCGTAGGAAAACCATAAAAATCTCTACCTATGCAAACCATTTGTCATCCACCTGTCGAAGTTTGCTTTTGGTATCAGCCTGGTCAGAAAATAAGTGTAATTTAAGAGATTAATTTTTGTCCCCCCTAACCGCAACAGATCTATTGATCTTACCTTTATGTTGGAAAAAAAAAAACTTTAAATTTTTGCCTTCGTTTTTATAAGTTCCAATAAGGGGCACAATGAGTGAGTGGGCTGTGGTCTGGTTAAGATGCCTATAACTCAGACGTAATTGCCTCTCTTCTCAGGGACTTATCATTTCCCTCTAGGTAACCCCCTGTCCTCGTTAGACCAGCAAAAATGATCAGCTGCCGAGCGAGCCTCAGGTAGAGAAGAAAAAGAGGTGATTGCATTTTTTCATCTTAAGACGGGCCATCCCTCCCCTCTCCAGCTCTAGAGAAAACGCAGCAGGGGAGTTAGAGGGAAAAGGCCGTCAGGTGTGGGGCTCCCCGGCTCCCCCAGGTGAGAGGAGGTCACACCCCAGCCTCCTCCGGGGTTAGGGTGCCGGGCAATGGGCGTGCAGCGCCCGGGAAGATCGGCCCGTCTCCTCCCCGAAGGATTAAATGCCATTGGGTGGGTGGGTGGGGGGGACCCTGTGGGGTGTCTCCCGCGCAGATGGGGGTGACCAGACCCAGGCTTTCCTTTCCGTCCAGCGCCCAGATGGGGGACGCGCAGTTGTCAGCCCCTGAGCAGGAGCCCTCGAGGGCGCAGGCGACGAGCAGCGGCGGCGGGCCGAGGTTCGCCCTCGCCTCCCCTCCCCTCCCCATTACCTGCGGGCGGCGGTGCGGGGCCCCGAGGCCTGGTGCTCCTCCTACCCGCCAGCTGGGGCGGCGAGGCGGTGGCGGCGGCGGCGGCGGCGACAGCCCGGGGGGAGGGGGCGGAGCGCGCGGCTCGAGCCTCTCTCCTCCCCCGGGAGACGAGGGGCCCCTATCTCGGGCCGCCGCGGCTAGGCCCGCGAGCAGCCCGCGGCCGGGGCATGGCGCCTCGCAGCAGCAACGTGCCCGCGAGCGGGGAGCGTGCGGAGCGGCGGGAGGCAGGCGCCCGTGGCGCTCGGAGGAGCCCCAAGGGGAGGAGCGAGGGGACGGCCGTTGGGGGCGGTTGGCCGAAGGCAGGCGGCGGTGGAGGCAGCGCGGCGACGGCTCGCGTTTTCCGGGCGTGGGGGGAGGGAAGGGGAAGGGGAACGAGGGGAGGGGAAGGGAGGTTGGGAGGGAGCCGCCGCCGCGCGCGCGTGCGGGACGGCGCCGCCGCCGTTGCCGCTCCGCTCACTCCAGCCTGTTTGGGGGCACTTTGTTTGTGTCCCACAATGCTCTGCGCGGGCGGCAGGGCTGGAAAGGGGAGGGGGAAGTGGGCGGGGCGAACGGGCGCGGGGGCGGGGCGGGGCGCTGCGGGGGCGGGGCCAGGGCGGGGCACAGTTTTGGCGCAAGCGCAGAAGGAGCGGCTCGCGGTTGCCGAGACCTGAACTGTGGGTGACTCGGCTGCTTACACACTTGGAGTTTCGACATCGACGTTGCTCACCGTGGCGTGTGTGCACACGTGCAGTTTACATGACCTGCTGCATGCGCCCTGGCTGCCCAGTTTGTCTTCCTCCAGCTGCCCTCTCAGCCCGCTCCCCGCGTGCACTGACAGAAGCATTTCTGGGCACCGTTCACGCTTCTTGCATTTTTTTTTCTTCTTTTTAAACCTCATTGGAACTAAAAACGAAAGAAACTCCTGTTTTCTCGAGTGGTTTCTGTAGCTGATTTCAGTAGCGGGGCTGAAACCGGAACACCCCAGACCCTTTCGGTGAAGGCGGTTAGCTGGTAATCCGCCCATCCTTCACACTTAGAAACTGTGGCCTGCTCAGAGGTAGCCCCAGACAAGTGGGGCTTCCTTTGCAGACAGCCGACCTGGCCCCGCATACCCCTTGTCGTGCCTCCTTTGCACCCCCTGGCATCCTTTCAATGATCTGAGATTGCTCTGGCGTTTCCCACGTCCTGGCGAAACCTGGGATTCGAATCCCAAGGCTGTCTTTCCCCTAACACAGGGCCCTTAGAGCTGCTGCAAAGACTCCCGTTCTTTCCACGACCTTTAATCTCACTTTATTACACCATCACTTCCCTGGCCTTTCCACGGGTGGAGTGTGCGGGGCACCCCGAAGTGGCGGGTACTGCCTGGGGGAAGTTTTAGAGTTCCTGGTCAATTGCAAAATCGTGGAAAGTGTTAAAACTCCCAGGACCCGAAGTCTTAGCTCCCCAGGGCTGGTAGGCGTGGGCTTGGGAAGCAAGACCTGGTGATAAGACAGCAGAGAAACGCCCCCCAGAGGAAGCCAGCCTGAAACTCCACAACCCATGAGTCCCAGCTGCCTGTCACTACTTGAGCCAATTAAGCAGAGGGTCGAATCATGTGAGTGTTTATTCCAATAATGCTGGCAGTATGTGAGAGCTGTGGGTCACCCATGAAAACATGCTCTCCCACCCCCCCATAAGTCAGCAGGGGTAGGATAAAGATTACATGGGGAAGCAGGCAAAAAGAAATGAGAATGAGTATGCAAAATGGGTATTACAGGCATGGGCAAGTAGGCAAAAAGAATACAATTGGGTATAATGGTTACAGATTACGTCGTTTGGGCAACAAGGTTGTTAATCTATCCATGATAATATGATAATGGCTCACATTCCAAGGTTGACTCCCAGGTCCTGGGGGTGTACAACTGTCATCTGGGTTATAATGTGCTTTCTCAAATCAGAACAAAACAATCTCAGGGCATGATTAATATTTCTTATACTTAATAGCTAGTCCCCAATATTCTATTTCAGTCCCTAACAAGCCTGCCAGGTGCCTGGAGATGGAGTGGGGCTCAGGGCTTGGAGGCCCAGGGCGCCTAGGGGCTCTGTATTTGCATATTTTATTTTCCCGTGCCTCCAGTTTTTTTAAACAGAACGACTCGTCTTCAAAGTGCGTTGTGCAAGGTGAGCTCACCTCCACTTGAAGTAGACTGGATTTTTCTTGGTAGCATCTTAATCTCCCCCCTGAGACACAGCAGCCCAACGCCCTAGGCCTAGCACCTTAATTGTAACAATCAAAACCACTTTAGAAATAAAGACAATAGAAACGTCTAATTTTATAGTCCTTTACAGTTTCCAACAAATTTTCAAGTATATGTATAATACTTAATCCTCACAGCAACTGCAATACATAGGTTTTACTACTTGTTCCCACCGTATTTTTATTATCCCATTTCGGAGATAAGGAAAACCTGAAAGATGTGAATTAGGCCGAGAAAGTTTTGTGCTGAGACTTGAAGAAGGGGAAGAAAAGAAAGTGGAGTGTGTACCCTAGGAGAGCAAGGCTCAGGAACTTGAAGCTCTGGCGGGGTGTTTGTTAGACTGCATGTACAAGGTTAAAACCTGGAGAAGAATCAGGGTGGGGACAAAATAGTGTTAAAGAACAAAAATTCAATCAAGTTTACATCTGAAGATCGAATTGGCTTTAGGGAGCATCCCAGCTAGCAAGCTTTCCATGCCATATGTAAGGCTTCCACAGGCTGAAGCTGGGCAGAACAGAAAGTTATTAGCAAAAGAAAAGAAAGATTGGTACAGGCCAAGTTACCTACCTGAAGGCAGGAAGTTTTGTCATGCAGATTACCTGGGCTTCCTTTGGGGGATGGAATGGGCCCAGGTGACAGATGACCTCATTGGTACCAAGTAGAAGATTCCAGAGGGACAGACTGACATTGCATTCTGGGAGAAGTTTGAACCTGCAGGTGCTTTAGCCCCGGTGACTCCATTTGGGGCCTGTGGTTTTTCTCTGTAACGGTAGTCAAGCAGATTCCATCTACCTCCCCCAGGGCATTTAATAGGACCATCAATAAAAGACCATCAGGCAAGTCTTTTACTTAGTGTTTCTCAAGGGACTGAGGTGTCATCTCCCTTCATGGCAAGACTAGCAGTGCTGACACAGAAAACAGCCTTCCTTAGAATGTTCTCTTGTCTCCTTTCCCTTTTGTGCTTTTCTATTTTTCATGTTACATTTTCAAATTTTATCATCCTCTCCCCTGCCCCCACCCCAGGTCTGGAGAATCAATTAACCAAGAAATGGCTGCTGGGCCTTTAGAACACAGTGTTAGATTCTTGGAGCTGTTGTGAGGGGGAAAATACAAATATTAACTATGTAAGAGCCCTCTTCTCTATTTTGGCTTTGGACAAGGTCACTTTCTATGATTTCTGCAGCCTCCCACTGTCACCTGTAGAAGTGAGGGGTCCTCGTCCTCACCTATTGCTCATGGAAATGGAATTCTTGCCATATCCTGAGAAAGACGTTTAGGAGACTCGCACAGGAGAACGAGTGATTTTTATTTAAAAAAAAAATATTTTTATTGATTCCAGAGAGGAAGGGAGAGGGGGAGAGAGATAGAAACATCAATGATGAGAGAGAATCATTGATCGGCTGCCTCCTGCACACCCCACACTAGGGTTCAAACCCACAACCCGGGCATGTGCCCTGACTGGGAATCGAACCATGACCTCCTGATTCATAGGTTGATGCCCAACCACTGAGCCACACCGGCCAGGTGGGAATTAAACTTTGATAGATGAGGAATCCACAAGGATACTGGATGACGGTTGAAAACCGATAAGCTTATGAAGTGAGTTCAGTCCAGGTAGAATAAATTGCTTGGGGAGCTGGTATTTGCTGACAACATGGGACAGCTGCAGTTACATGCTACGAATATTGGATCTGATTTCTGGATGCAAATTAATTCTAGCCCATGAAGGGTCTTGAGCCACGCCAAAAATGACCAAGTAGAACAATATGTGAAAAGATGGCTGGCTCTGGCACTAAACTAGAGCCTCCCCTCAGAGCTCAGAGAATCTGCATAATTCAATTCATTCCTAATGGTAGCTGTCATATTAGCTTGTCTCAGTCCTCACTGTGGTTCACAGCTGTATCTCAGAAGTGACTTAGGAAGGAAGCTTTTAGTAACTGTCTTCATCTCTCCATTTGTACTCTCTCTCCCCTCACCCCGCCCGCCCCCCCCCCATCAGTAGAACCCTCTGCCTCTCCTCTCAGTTTTCTTCTACTTACCCTCCTCTGCCTCCTGCTCCCTCAATGAACATACGCTCCAAGGAAATAATTCGCTAAATGAATTCATGGCGAGGTACACGCTGTCAACAAGACTTACATGTAAACCCTCCCAGTGGCTAGTTGCATATTAAGAGAAGTCTGCATTTCAAGCTAAAGAAAACGTCTAACTCCGAAGCTCTAAGTCAGTGGTTCTCAACCTTCCTAATGCCGCGACCCTTTAATACAGTTCCTCATGTTGTGGTGACCCCCAACCATAAAATTATTTTCGTTGCTACTTCATAACTATAATTTTGCTACTGTTATGGATCGTAATGTAAATATCTGATATGCAGGATGTATTTTCATTCTTACAAATGGAACATAATTAAAGCATAGTGATTAATCACAAAAACAATATGTAATTATATATGTGTTTTCCGATGGTCTTAGGCGACCCCCGTGAAAGGGTCGTTCGACCCCCAAAGGGGTCGCGACCTACAGGTTGAGAACCGCAGCTCTAAGTGTTAGCTGTTCCACAGGAAAGAGAATTTTTAGAGGACCTAGTTCCAATTTAGAATATTTTTTGTTTTCCAGGTACACTCTACTTTAGGTACAAATTCCAACTTATAAAAGGGCTTTTGAAAACCAAATTTCTCTTCCCAATATGAAAAAAACCCTTTAGGGCTGGCTTGGAGTGTGACCGCATTGAATATCGACCTTTTACACCCTTCCAGGCAGACATGAGGGAGGAAGCCAAGACCTTGACCATCATGAGAAGCAGGCCAGGGAGATTTGCACCTTGCTGCAGGAAAAGCAGGCTGATGAACAGAAATAGAACAGATCTAATCCAGGATCTTGACTATATTAGAGGGTAATAAGCAGCCTCTGTACCTTTATATGGCCTTTTCCTCGGTTATGGGTGGAGACTCTTCCTTGAGATACAGTACCCAGTGGGGAGCTGCCGGTGCTAACAGTGTGAATACCAGAAAGTGAGAGCGAAGAGAGGGCAATACATTATCACCCTGATTGAATTTAACCTCTCCCAGCCTCTGCTCCCCCCCCTCCCCCCCCGTAATGTGGGAACCATAATATCTATTGAAGAGAGTTAGAATTCTTTTGATTTAAAATTACAGAAAGGTATATTACTAGTAAACTAGGTTAAGATAAAAAAAAAAAAGAATTTAGAGCAGTGATTCTCAACCTTCTGTCTCTTTAAATACAGTTCC